CAAGCTGTTTCCGCGTCTCTCTTCCGCACACAAAACCTTCCCTTCCAGCCATCTCTCCCGGCACTTCTATTCGACAAAACGCCTCAATCTCGAGTTGCACAGCCTGGGTTATCAGTGCAAACTTTAGTTATTACATTTCCTAAGTTTAGAAAAGCCAAGAGTTCTTTTCGGATAAGATATTGCTTATATATATATATATATATATATACATATGTATATATATATATTTATTTATATATCAACACACACATACACACACACACACACACACACACACACACACACACATACACACACACACACACACACACACACACACACACACACACACATCCCCAAACCATACACACCATACCTAACCCCCCCCCATCCCCGCATCCCCCATACACACCATAACGAGACCGTAACTGGAACGGGAATCGACTTACCTTTGATGATCATGTCGAACTTCGCCATCCAGGAGGTCAGGACAGTCTCTTTGCTTAAGCCGTCGATCTCAGGCAATGACCTGCGAAGACGAGATGTTGTGAGAGGGAGGGAGGGAGAGAGAGGGAGAGGGAGAGGGAGAGGGAGAGAGAGAGGGAGAGAGAGAGGGAGAGAGAGAGGGAGAGGGAGAGGGAGAGAGGGAGAGGGAGAGAGAGAGGGAGAGGGAGAGGGAGAGGGAGAGAGAGAGGGAGAGAGAGGGAGAGGGAGAGAGAGAGGGAGAGGTAGAGGGAGAGAGAGAGGGAGAGAGAGAGGGAGAGGGAGAGGGAGAGAGAGAGGGAGAGAGAGAGGGAGAGAGAGAGAGAGAGAGAGAGAGAGAGAGAGAGAGAGAGAGAGAGAGAGAAATGGGAAATGGGAGTAATTACGGGTAGGAAAAAAAGTAGAAAGGAAAAAGAGGAGAAGAATAGGTGGGGAAAGCAAGGAGATAAATGTCGGAGAAAAAAACGGTATAACAAGGAATAGAATCGGGGGGGAGGGGGGGAGACATCGAAAAAAGAATGAGAGGAAAAAAATAAGATAAAGAAGAAATGATGATAGGTGATGACTCCCCTCCCTTCTCCTTCTCCGTCCCTTTCCATTCCATCCCTTCCCTTCCCTTCCCTTCCCTTCCTTTCCTTTCCCTCCTTTCCCTCCCCTCCCCTCCCCCTTCTCTTCCTCCTCCTCCAACCCCTCCTTCCTCTACTTCTACCTCCCCTACCACCTCCTCCTATTCCTATTCCTCCTCCTCCTTCTTCTCCTCTTCCTCCTCCTCCTTCTTCTCCTCTTCCTCCTCCTCCTACTCCTCCACCCCCTCCACCTCCACATCCACCACAACCTCCTCTACCACCACCTCCTCCTCCTCCACTACAACCACCACCACCACTTCCTCCTCCACCACCACCACCTCCTCCTTTTCCATCACCTCTACCTCCTCCTCCACCACCACCAACACCACCACCATAACCACCTCCACACCACCTCCTCCTCCACCACCACCACCACCATAACCACCTCCTCCTCCACCACCACCACCATAACCACCTCCTCCTCCACCACCACCACCTCCTTTTCCTCCACCACCACCCCCTCCTCCTTTCCACCGCCTCCACCACACCACCTCCTCCTCCTCCTCCTCCTCTTCTCCCTCCTCCTCCTCCTCCACCTCCACCTCCTCCTTTCCATCACCTCCTCCACCACCACCACCACCACCACCTCCACCTCCTCCTCCTCCTCCCTTCCACCACCATTCCCCTCAATCTCATCCGCCCAGCTTCCCCTCAACCACTTGGCCGACCCTCTCGATCTCCCCTCTTCATCTAATAACTTTCCAAGCGCCCTTTTCCCTTCTTCTCGCGTGCATCTTATTCCCTCTTTATCGTTTTCTTTCCCTGTTCTTGTTTCCCTCCGATGGCGCCTTTTTAAAGGGAAATCGCGACGGGGGGGGGGGGGAAGGAATTAAAAAGAAAAGAAAAAAAAGAAAAAAGAAAAAGAAAAGGAAAAAAGATCACGAAGAGAAAGGGAGGGGTGAAATGTTAAGAAGGACAAGGAAGAGCAGAACAGAGAATAATGATCAGGAAAAGCAGAAAGAGGAATAAGGATACGTAAGAGGAAAAAGAAGGATTAGGAAGAGGAAAGAGAGGAAGGGGGAGAAGGAGAAAGAACAAAACAAAAAGAGGAAGAAGGAAAAGGATAAGGAAAAGCAGAAAAAGGAAGAAGGAAAAGGGAGAAGAGAGAGAGAAGAAGAAGACAAGAGGATGGAGTGTGTGACGAAAGGAAGAAGAATGGGAACAGCAGAAGGGGAAGGACAAAGGCAAAGGGTAGGTAAGTAGGTAGGAAGAGGAGGGGGAAGGGGGAAGAGGACAGAGGAAGGGGAAGAGGGGAAGGGGAAGAGGGAGAGGCGAAAGAGGAAAGGAGTGGGAGGAGGGGAAAGGGGGAAGAGGAGAAGGGAAGGTAGGAAGAGAAGGGGGGGAAGGGGGAAGAAGATGAATTGAAGGTAGACAGAGGAGGGGGAAGAGGGAAAGGGGAAGAGGGAGAGGCGAAAGAGGAAAGGAGTGGGAGGAGGGGAAAAGGGGGAAGAGGAGAAGGAAAGGTAGAGAGAGGAAGGGGAAAGAGGGAAGATGAAGAGGGAAGGTAGAAAGAGGAGGGGGAAGGGGGAAAGGGGATAGGAGTGGGAGCAGGGGAAGGGAGGAAGAGGAGGAAGGGGAAGGGGGAAGAGGAGGAAGGGGAATGGGGAAGAGGTGGAAGGGGAAGAGGGGAAGAGGAGGAGGAGAAGAAAAGTGTGAAGAGGAAGAGGCGAAGGAAGAGGGAGGGGGAGGAGGAGGGGAAACATAACTTCGTAGACTTGCCCTAATGAAGGTGGAGGGAAGCGAAATTAACAAACTATTCTGTCTAAAGGGAAAATACCCCCCCCCACTTCTGCATAGAATTCCAGCACGGCGAGAAAAAGAAAAACAATAAAAGATGGATTTGATTTTCTTTTCAGCCTTTTTTCAATCATGTTACTTGTGTTACCTAATAAGGTCATACATTTTTTCTTTCTTTTTTTGCGTCTTCAAGTTTGACGACGAAACTTAATGGAAATATGGGCATAAAAAGATTTAAGATAGGTATGAATAAAAGGTCGATGAAAAAATATCGGTTACATTAATAATTACATAGATAGATAAATAGATAGATAGATTTGTCATTAAACAATTATTTCGCATCTTCTTGGATGTATTAAATCGAATTTATTACCATCTTATTTACAACAACGAAGTGAATACTTAACGGAAAAAAAATTAGCCTGTCGCATCATGAAACAAAGTGATCACACACCCCTAAACCTCAAATCAATCCACGATTTAAAACTAAAAAAGAAAAAGAAAGAAAAAAGAGAGAGACAGAAAAAAAACATTAAACTCGACCCAACTCGACCCAGACCGACACACAAATTCCCTAATCGGCAACCACCGTGACCTGATCTGACGCCTCGGTTTGGCTAACTTTGCACTTCCTGGCAAATCAGTGAAGAGATACCCCACTTTTCCTGCAGAATTTACGGCGATAAGGAAGAGATACGAGTCTGTCGTCCGAATGTGGGAGGATGACTTAAGTTGTGTTTTTTTAATTCTTATTTTTTTATTTTTTTTACGAGACACAATCAAGATATGTATATTTTTATTATTATTATTATTCGGGAATAACTAAAGTGACTCTAATAAAATGAAAATTAATGAGGGGAAAGGAATTAATACTGATTATGAGTAATCAAATGACTTTGCTGGGAATAATAAAATCGTAAAACTTTTGTACTGGCGAGAGAAAAAAGGGAAAAACACTACTTCATTAACACTTTAATTGAGAATATCAAAGTTGAACGGAACGAGAAATATGAATTTTTCGTTCGAGTATAAAGGGAAGGCCCAATTCAATTTCTGACTTTATTAATAATTTCTAAAAAATATATATTCATAACAGCCAAAGAAAAATAGAACTGCTTTAATCGTAACGATCAATGGAAACTACCTAAATTACGTATATTGTCCAAATAACGATAAATAACTTTTTTGTTGTTGTTGTTTACGTTTTTGAACATACAATAAACTAATCAAAACGTGATTTTTCACTGAAGTCCACTATATGATTAATATCAACGACAACAAAGAACTTGGCTTTTATTTTGGAAATTACAAGATTATGAAAAAAAAGACTTAAAAGTGACAAAATCTAATAGAACAAACCGCGCAGAAAGGTAACACGATCTCCCATTAGTCCGTAATGACTCTATTCTCCTTTTAATTTCAACCTTTCATTAAAAGTAATTTTCCTGCATTCCATTTTCACCTCAACTCCAAGAAATTAATAATAAGAATGATAATTAAAGTGAGAATCTCAATAATCATAATAATAATACAATTATCAATTACAATATTTGGATTGAAGATTGCAAAATGATAATGATAATAATGATAATTATAATACTGATACTAATAATGGTAATGATGATAATAAATAATAATAATAGTAATAATAATAAAATAGTAATGTAACAAAAACAACTATCATAATTATTATAGTAATAATAATGCTAATAATAATAATAATAATAATAATAATAATAATAATAATGATAATAATAATAATAATAATAATAATAATAATAATAATAATGATAATAATAATAATAATAATAATAATAAAAATCAATAACATACTACTTCTACTAACTATAATACACACACACACACACGCACACACATATATATGTGTGTGTGTGTGTGTGTGTGCGTATGCGCGTGCGTGTGTACACACTGCGTATACATATATATGAACAAACGCTGAAAAGGGAATAAAAGCGGAAGGGTTGGCCCCGCCCCTCACCTGACTCTCTTCTCGACGTTGTGCTTGAAGACCTCCCTCAGGTCGTGCTGCGAACACGCGCCCGAGATCACCATGGACAGGAGGCGCTCGTTCTTCAGGAACACTTCGTAGTAACTCTGCACCGCGTTGGTAAAGGCCTCGTCAGCTGCGATCTGGAGTTCGCCCTTCAGGAAACTCTGTTGGGGGAAAAAAGGGGAGATTGTAGTTGGGGATGTGAGGGAGAGAAGAAGGGGAGATTGTAGTTAAGAGGGAACTCAGGAGGAGAGAAGAGAAGGGGTGACTGAGGAGTAAATGGAAGAGATTCTCGTAATTGATCATTATAACTGCAATAAAGTAGATTAACTATTTAATATCAAAAGCTATTCAGTTCAGTTATATGGATGAAAATGCGGGTTTGGATTATTTGTTCTCGCAAGGGATATTCATTTTTTTTGTGACAGTTCATAATGGAGGATGTGGAGCTATATATATACAGCTATATATAAGTGTGTATTAATTCATATGGTGCGCGCACGAGGGAAGTGTGAGAAAATGCCCATATCAATCTCTGTCAACCACATACATATTTTCATTGAATTCATAAAAAACAGCCATCTCCCACGAACACGTAAAAACAATAACAACAACATAACTCTTAAAAACCATCCCAAGATCCTCAGATGCAAATATATCTCTCCACAAACACCAATCCAGTATGACCATCTCTTTAAAACTGCCATAACCTATCCTTTCTAATATCACTGCTAAGTTGTACAAGTTTCTTAAGTTCCTTGTTCCAGAGCGCGCTCAACTTCGTAGATAAATTCAGAATTCGTTATCAATATTCCTTTAACGGGCGCCGAACTTCGGTTCGTCTCTGAGATATGTGCTTGTAATATTCTAGAGGTTTTTAAATATACGGCATGGAAACTCTTAATGGGCATCTAACTAAAGTTTGTCTAAAGTAAAAGTGTTTGTGACATTCCGGTTAATTTTACGTGAATAAGGTGTGGAAATCCCCCCTCCCCCTCCTCCCAACGATAAAAAAGGTACAATGCGCTGTTTTATGTACACGTACTGTACACACATCATAAACACACACACACACACAGAGAAATGTGTTATGCACGATAGAGAAGATGGGGATGATGGCAGGGGGGGGGGGGTAATGGCCCTCATCTGATTAAGGTCCAAGAGCGACGCTGATTGGCTCGGCGCCCGTGGAGAGACGCCGAGATCCGACTGTCGTTACGAAGGGCGTTAGAATAAAGCCTGATTATTGTCGCCTGATCATTGCCCTCTCCCCGTGTTTAGGAGTTGGTTGCTTTTTATTTATTCTCTTGGTCTTTTTGTGTGTGTGTTTATTTACATTCTCTCTCTCTCTCTCTCTCTCTCTCTCTCTCTCTCTCTCTCTCTCTCTCTCTCTCTCTCTCTCTCTCTCTCTCTCACTCTCTCTCTCCCACTCACTCACTCTCTCTCTCCCACTCCCTCTCTCTCTCACTTCCTCCCTCCCTCTCTCTCTGCAAAACTCAATTGCATTCTCTCTCTCTCTCTCTCTCTCTCTCTCTCTCTCTCTCTCTCTCTCTCTCTCTCTCTCTCTCTCTCTCTCTCTCTCTCTTTCTCTCTCTCTCACTCACTCACTCACTAACTCTCTCTCTCTCTCTCACTCCCTCCCTCTCTCTCTCACTCCCTCCCTCTCTCTCTCACTCCCTCTCTCTCTCTCTCTCTCTCTCTCTCTCTCTCTCTCTCTCTCTCTCTCTCTCTCTCTCTCCCCCCCTCTCTCTCTCTCTCTCTCTCTCTCTCTCTCTCTCTCTCTCTCTCTCTCTCTCTCTCTCTCTCTCTTTCTCTTTCTCATGCACACACACTTACTCACTAACTCTCTCTCTCTCTCTCACTCCCTCCCTCTCTCTCTCACTTCCCCCCTCTCTCTCTCACTCCCTCCCTCTCTCTCTCTCTCTCTCTCTCTCTCTCTCTCTCTCTCTCTCTCTCTCTCTCCCCCCCCTCTCTCTCTCTCTCTCTCTCTCTCTCTCTCTCTCTCTCTCTCTCTCTCTCTCTCTCTCTCTCTCTCTCTCTCTCTCTCTCTCTCACTCTCTCTTTCACTCTCTCTTTCACTCTCTCTCTCTCTCACTCCCTCTCCTTCTCCTCTCCCTTCCTCTCCCACTATATATATACATATATATATATATATATATATATATATATATATATATATATTTATATATATTCATTATACTCCCAATATTCACCATCATCGTTACATCAGCATCGCCAACGTTAAAAAAAATCTCTAGTCCGATACCAGTAACGAAAGCACAATCATCATCATTAAACGACGCAGTTTGCTCTTTAGCGCCATTAAACAGGTTCTAAATGCCATTAAAACTTTTCTGTTCCATAAACGGTCTTTTAAATCTGTATTTCACTTTATCCTATAATGACCTGAGTGACCTACATTTGTTATTTGTTTTTCTTTTTAGGTATTGTTGTAAATGCAATAATGATAAAATGATAATTGTTAAAAGATAATAACAAATAATAATGATAGTGATAATCATACCGCTACTAATAACAATAATAACAACAACAAAAGTAATAACAACAATGGAAATGATATTATTACTATTATCATTATCATTAACAACAATAATAAAAAAATATTGCAATAATGATCACAACAACAACAAAAGCTGCACCTCCACCACCACCACCAACAGCTATACAGTATGATATACAATCGCCATTCTTTCGCCCTCCTCAATCAAGCCCCGTCCTCGGTCGCTGATTGGCTGGGAACATAACACTTCAACGGACCAATCACAGCTCGACCTCAGGGTTTAGTGATCACGTGTCTTTGTTTCACCTCGATATGTACAGTGATATATGTGTGAGTGAGTGTGTGTGTGTGTGTGTGTGTGTGTGTGTGTGTGTGTGTGTGTGTGTGTGTGTGTGTGTGTGTGTGTGTGTGTGTGTGTGTGTGTGTGTGTGTGTGTGTGTGTGTAGAGAGAGAGAAAAAAAAATAATAATCAACGAAATATAAAACAAGTGGAGCAAAAATATTGAGTGAACTTTTCCTCCTTGTAGAATCAAGAATACATGCCTGTATCTGAGTCTACCTATTAATCTATTTGCCTGTCAGTATCCATAGACGCCCCTAACATTCCCTCACTCTCTCTCCCACCTCATTTTCCTCTCCCCTTCTCCGTCATTTCCTCACAGCTTTCCTCTCGGGGTTTCCTCCCACCATCGTCATTTCCCCGAGAGAATCTTCCCGCCAAAGCAACCTCTGGGAACTTCCATGCGAGTGACCAGACGTGTTTTTCTCCGTCTCGCTGATCCCCCTCCCCCCCCCCCTCACTCATCCTAACCTTTTCTTCGTCTCCGTTTCTCTGTGTCTGTCTGTCTGTCTGTCTCTCTCCTTCGTCTTCCTCTTTCTCATCCTCTTTTTCATTTTCCCTCCCTTCCCCATCTTAACCGTCACACTTCTCCCTCTCCCTCTCATCTCTCTTTCACTCTTTCCCTTCCATCCCTCTCTCTATCCTTCCCACTCATCCCTCTCTCCCGCCACACTCCCTCTCCCTTTCCCCCTCTCCCCTCCCCTCCCCGCCATCTCTCGGGGCGCGAGAAGCGTCTTCAGCGAGGCAAGACGAAGCAAGGCGAGGCAAGGCGAGGCAAAGCAGCTGCTCCTCGATATTGGACGGAGTTCATTATGGCTTCCTTTAATATCTACAGCTCGCACGCCCGTGGGACTTCTGGGCGGGGGAGGGGGGAGGGGGGGAGGTTGTTTACGAAAGGGGAATAGTATTGCTTGATGCTGGGTAGTGTCAGGCCGTGTTTGTGTTTATGAATTCGTGTTGTGTGTGTGTGTGTGTGTGTGTGTGTGTGTGTGTGTGTGTGTGTGTGTGTGTGTGTGTGTGTGTGTGTGTGTGTGTGTGTGTGTGTGTGCGCGCAATTCTTCATATGTATACATCCGGAGTCGTAGAGACATTTCGGCAAAGGTCGCATCATCTTTTTCTTATTTACGGAAGCTGTGAGGTAAAAGACACGCCGCGGCTGCTTCCCAGGACTAAACACGCATTTGCACTTCCATCTTCGCCGCAATTTATCAAAGACATCAGGATCTCTCTCCGCTTTTTGTATTTCCTTTTCACTGCAATTCGTTTTTTTCCCTGAACCTTTCGTCTTTCTCTTTCCGCGTCGCTTTCATACTGTTTCATGCCCTTTTATCTTTTACGCTCATGAATTTTTTATTCATTTCATTTCAGTATTCCGTGTGATACCTTATACTGGCAGACGTAATATATATATATATATATATATATATATATATATATATATATATGTATATATATATGTATATATATATGTATATGTCAGGGTAGAGACTGCAATCTGGTACAATCAGGGATTCTACCAGTAGAGACTCCGATCGGAGTTTCTACCAGCAGAGTCTCCGATTGCAGTCTCTACTGGTAGAATTTGAGATTCTACCAGTAGAGATTCCAATCAGAGTTTCTACTGGTAGAGTCTCTAATCCAAATAACCATTTTTATTTGATGATCAATGTCTAGCTAAATTTGCACTGCATACTAGTCCTCTAGTATTGTATTAAAAGACAACTAAATTGATTTAACCATTTTTATTTGATGATCAATGTCTAGCTAAATTTGCACTGCATACTAGTCCTCTGTAGTATTGTATTAAAAGACAACTAAATTGATTTATCAGATAGTCAATGTGATTTTGTTCAGTTTTTTTATGCAAAAGAAAAGTCTACAATACAATACAATACAATACAGAATCAGAGACTCAACCAGTAGAAACTCTGATCGGCGTCTCTACGGGTAGAATCTGAGATTCTACCAGTAGAAACTGCAATCGGAGACTCTACTGGTAGAAACTCCGATCGGAGTCTCTACTGGTAGAATCTCTGATTCTACCCGATTGCAGTCTCTACCCTGACATATATATATATGTATATATATATGTATATATATATATGTATATATATATATATGTATATATATATATATGTATATATATGTATATATACATATGTATATATACATATGTATATATACATACGTATATATATATATATATATATATATATATATATATATATATATATATATATATATATGTACACACACACACACACACACACACACACACACACACACACACACACACACACACA